CCTAGTAGTAGTAGAAGATAGAAGAGAAGGTAGAAAGGATACGTGTATATAAGAAGGAAGGGGGTGGTTAAATTCGTAATTAACAGGCGTGAAAGCCTTGGCAGAATTCAGGCAGGAATCAGGCCCCAGGTGGTGCCGCCAGCCTTTTGAGGTGGTGCCCCCAGCCTTCCCCATTAGAAGGGATCGTTCGTAGCGTCAGGGGAGGATTAGATTGTATTAATAAATCGACTCCCCTAGTAGGTAGCCGTAAAAGGTCACCTTTTAGAGGGTTTACTACTAGATATAATCCTAAGAGTAGATAGGGTATGCCCTTCTAAGTATAGTAAAGGAGAGACTATATATATATACGCGGCCGGATAGGGCCTTACGTGACCTAGACCGGACGGGGCCTCACGTGACCGAAAGTGGCCGGAAGGAGACAGTGGGTCTGACCCACTAGAAAGGGAGCCTAAGGCAGAAAAAGCTCCCAGGATCTCACTAATATAGGAACCGACCCTACCGCGACTATCGCGATCTATAATAAATACGTTCTAATCGATCAGATTCGGACTTATATTAGGAATTAGCGGCGGAATTCCGTCGAAGGTTAATCTAGGTAGATATAGTAGCTAGCTAACCGGTTATAATAGGGAGGCTAGAATAGAGTAGGTAGTTTATCTATACGGGCTTGCTAAACTAAGCTTAAACGCCGGATTATCTACCCTGATTGTAGATACTAACGATACCACAGTCGTTAATAGGATTTCAAGATTATATCTATAATAGCGGACCCTTAAGACTATATATAACGCCCTGATATCTACCCGTAAGACGTTAACCCCGAGGTATAGCTTTAAAACTAGTAAAGTATACCGACTGTTATCTAACCGCTACTCGAGGACCCCTAAGGCATAGAGCGGACGTTAAATTCCCGACGCTTACCGCTATCGATACGCCCTTCTATAGTACCCGTTCGCTAATCGCGTCGCGACCGTCGTCGGCCTTAACGCCTTAGCTTCCTATAAATTATGAATCTATATTATTTCGCGTGTTTTCCTATATGAATTCTTAGGAAGTATTAAATTTGACTAGCACGTAGAGCCTATAGATATTATAGTCTTGCCTATCGGGTAAAAGTAGCTACTACGTGAATTAATGAAAATAGTTATTAGCTATTGCGTATTTATCTTTAGTTTTCCCTATCTTGTAAGAAGGTCTTAAGATCTATAATAGATTAAATTAGACCATGGGGAGCTTTATTGATTCGAACTTGAACAAAGGAGGTTTCCTTAAGACTAGGTTTAGTACCGGTTGCGCTTTACTACTATCTGTTAGATCTTCTGTTAGGCTATCGCCTACGTAGATTAATAACGATAAATTATAGTCCACGATAATCGTCGAGAATATCGTATAATATCCCGCGTATACTCGATGCCGTAGCTCTGTAATGTTTAGCTAGCTTAGGTAAAATATTACTCCTCTATATAGCCCGTTCGATCTAATCGATAACGGTCAAAAATTGAACTGCTTTAGTAGGAGCCTTAGAGACTGTTAACTAGAATGATATAGGAGGAAGGGAGTAAGGGGCAACGTATAGGAATATAACGTCTAAGACGTTTGTTGTATAGTACGTAGGCACTAAGGGTGCGATCATCTAGGAATTTATATACTATATCTAGTAAGTTTAATCCCTCTGCGTCGTCGGCCCGGCGCCGTATATAATTTAGGTATAATCTATGCCTAAGGGCTTCGACGGTAGGAGGGCTCTATACCTAAGTAGAAGCTTGCTAAAGAGTCGAGGTATTTATTGTTAGGTATTCGGGGGCTAGAACGACGTTAGCTATAGTGTAGAGAGGAGAAGTAGACGCAGAATCCCGAGTGATATAGTACCTGTCGGCATGTATGGCCTATGGGCCAGATATGCATCTTGAATCCTGTCTGCTTATTAAGCATTCCTATCTTGCTTACCGCTAGGAAAACCCAATCTTGTTTACCCCTAGATTCTGATCCTAGATTCTGATCTTCAACGATCGTGTCAACATTGCCCGACTAGGCAAAGGAATGTTCAACACTCCAAAATGACCTCGAATGTTCTTGATTTCCTTATGTGATATTTGCCATGTACCTCATGTTATAAATTGCATCCTGTTTCCTAGTTAGAATGAACAAGTTTGACATCTTTTTTATCTCAGGAAGAATCACCGGACATAGTAGACTATCTGAATCAACCTTCCACTACTTGATTCTTCTGTCTGATCAGTCGATTGTGATCTATCCTGATTCGTCTCTCTTCCATAATCGTGGCACTAAGATTAGTGCGCACGAACGATTTCTACCAAGGTTTTATACACCATACGCAATTCCAACAGTACCTTTATACGGTAGTAGGGGAGGGAGAGGCTCCTAAATTAGATGTGCTGGCTAATATTAACCGACGGCGACGCTTGCTGCCTATGCTTATCCTCTAGCACTAGGGTATTTATTGATACCGATAGAAAAAAGTCGATCTATCGAGGCTATAAGGAGAGCAAAGAAAATTAAACGTAACGGGAGTTCTAGCACGATAGTAGGTCAAGATCGAATAGGAAGATAGAGAAGACTAGGTGGAATATTCGGCGTTATAAGTATAGAAAACGTTGTTCTTCTACTTGCGTTAAGATAAAATGAAATGTCGATTGCGGTAGTAGTTAGTACTAGCCTAGACTTAAATATAGAATTAGGTAATACCCGTATAAGACTATATAAACTATTACCCTAGTATTATAAAAACTAACCGGGCAAGCCTATTATAATCGACTGGTATAATATACTATAATTAGCTATTACTATTAGCCTTCTGAATTTAGTGGTTTATGATTAATAGGATCTTTTTCTAAGGTAGCAGTATCTCCTAGGCCACTACTTAATCCTCGGATAACTTGTACCCGTCTTATAATCCTAGGAGGCCCTTTATTACATCAGAAGTAGAGAACGTGGATCTACCTGCGTAATCTAGTATACCTATAAGCGAGGTAGCTACCGGCTCTTCTTTTCAAATAACGCCCTGTATCTAGGATTGACGAAAAGCATAGTCAGCCTTTCCTAGTTAATCACTGTTTTCAGGCCGGAGGGCCCTCACGGTACTGTACTATATGAACGAGCGCCCCGTATTCTAACCACGATTCTTGGACGGTGCAATGGTAAATCAACTTTTAGATCTTTAATCATGGCAGGAATGTAGGAACAGTTCATAATCCAGAATGTATCAACCACATAGTCTATCTCAAGAATGATGAGATCTAGCAGTCTTCAATACCACCTAAACTTCCTTGATAAATGTTATGAAATCAATAGCTTTGTTTGCTCTTTCCGGTTTCTGAGATACCTAAGCTTTGAATAATGCAGCTGATAGTTTAGGTAGTATGGAGAACATTCGTCTACTCGGCTTACAGTATTTTGTAGTGTGAGACATTCTCAATATTACTGGCTTCTGGAGTTTTTTATTGCTGATCTGCTCTTCTTATTAAAACATCCTTGTCGCCTTACAGTATCACAGAAAGTAAACCTTGCCTACACAATGTAGCCAATCATAGTCGATCTCAATACTAAATTTAGCATATTGGCGGGAGGGCGGCTATAGGGCGCTGTACCGCTGTTCTCTTCTGTTGACATTCTCGTTGAAGACAAAGTTAAAACGGTCGATCGTGTCACTTGGGCCAAGACGTGTAGTGCAACCGAGGGCAGGAAAAAAGACTATGGTTAACTAATTAAGCATCAACTGTCGCAGTAGACCTTTTTTAAACCGCTACGCGCTGGGTCTCAAATTAGGGCGCAAGCAACTCATCAATATGATGGTTGAATAAGCAATGCCTCTGGCACCTCTGGCAAACCCGGAAAATCAAGACCCCCTAGCACGACATCCAGTCACCGTGAAGTGTCCGCAGGACGTCTTGCCACCCCAAGTTGCGGTAGTTGTATCTCGATAGTCACCCAGTTCACCAGCCAATGAACTCTCACAAGCAGCCACACACAACAAGAGGTAAGTCGTCCTGATTCTGGACGTATTTCGCTAACCTTGCTATTGCACACTGCGGAGGAAGAGAAGGCGTGCATCATACTGCTGGCATTTAATTTACGGGTGATACAAAAGCGCATTTCTCAACGTAAAGCGAAAAGAATGAGTTTTGTAGCCAAGACTTGTGTCCCATATTGATCGTCGTCAAAAGACCTGGAGCCCATGTGGTTACTCCGCCATAGTGGCCGCCAGTTGACAGATTGAAGACCCTGGTAGACCTGGAGCTATGGACGTACGTCCAGAGTGGATCTGCGTCCACTGCCACCAGTACTTGGCCTCAAGTCAACTGTTCTTGGTTACAGGGGCCAAAAGCCCCATCACTACAGACTCTCCACCCCATGGCCCGCTTGGACGCAGTTCCACAGATCTATTACATGACTGCCCTTGCGGCTCTCGATATGTGTCTAGTATAGATAGCGAGCCATACGGGCCAGACGACGTTTTTCCTAAATCTACGGAGGCCCCAAGTACCCATACTTGCTGCCCCCTCAGTTTGGAAGGTTAGTGAAAGGTAACACTGTAAATGGCGATACCTGCCAAACTTACACCCCCAGAATATCAAGACCACCTTGCTCGAGTCCGCAGGGCGTGTTGCCACACCAAGTACTACCTAGTAGGCGGCCACTGCCCCTCAGCTGAATTAATTGTCCCGATCTGTACACTCATGAACACTGCACCCTCATGTCTATAAGAATGCTGCCGGAGCATGAACCGGAGACCTCTGGCAAGAAACAGTCTTGAATCAATCGGGCCTTGTGCTTCTTCCTTACCTGACCAACAGGCCTTCTACCCTGCAAGTAGATATATCTTAACACAGACACAATCGAAGCATGCATGGCATAGAACCTTTCCGTTCCTCCCCCTCTCTTCTCTTTTCTTTTCTTTTCTTTTCCTTTCTTTTCTTTTCTTCTATTCATCAAAATATTCGTTATTTTTATAAGTAATGCTAATAAACCCAATTTCTGCATTAACCCCTCTTTACTGCACGCAAAAGCTTAACAATTGCTTCATTACCATTTCCAGCTGCAATACCTCGTGGAGTCCGTCCCTGCCAATCTTTTGCATGTGCATTCACGCCCTCTGTTTTAAGCAACAGCTTGACAATTGCTTCATTCCCATTTCTAGCTGCATGAAATAGCGGTGTCCAACCATATGCATTTTCTGCGTCTGCGTCCACACCCTCTGTTGCAAGCAACAGCTTGACAACTTCTTCATGCCCATTTCCAGCCGCATAAGATAGTGGTGTCCGTCCGTTTCTATCTTTCGCGTCTGCGTCCACACCCTCTGCTGCAAGCAACAGCTTGGCAATTCCTTTATGCCCATGTGCAGCGGCCCAAAATAGTGGTGTCTGTCCGTTGCCATCTTTCGCGTCTGCATATACACCCTCTGCTGCAAGCAACAGCTTGACAACTGCTTCATGGCCATTTCTAGCCGCAAATGATAATGGGGTCTTCTGATCCCTTATATCTTTTGCGTCTGCGTACACGCCCTCTGCAGCAAGCAACAGCTTAACAACTGCTTCATGGCCATTTCCAGCCGCATAAGATAGTGGTGTCCGTCCGTTTCTATCTTTCACATCTGCATGCACGCCCTCTGTTTCAAGCAACAGCTTGACAGCTGCTTCATACCCATTTCCAGAGGCAAATGATAATGGTGTCCGACCCCTATCATCGCTTGAGTTTATATCAACCCCCTCTACTGTAAGCAATAGCTTAACAACTGCTTCATAGCCATTTCCAGCGGCTAAAGATAGCGGTGTCCGACCTTCTTTAGTATTGCTTGCCCTGATGCTGAATCTCTTCGTTTGGATTTTACATCCTTCTTGAAGAAGCATTCGAGCTGTCGCTTCTTGGCCTGTTGATGCAGCCCAAAGCAGTGCTGAGCTTCCAGAATATCGTATGTTGTATTGATAGAGCAATGGATTTATGAGATGGTATAGGAGACGGCTTGTTTGAGCAAAAGCGTTGATATCTCTCTCAAATCCCAGGTGCTCCGCCACAAGTCGTAGCAATTCGTTGGCCAAATTAAGCAACGTCATGATTGTAACATCTGGGCATTGGGTGAAGATATGTCGGAGCAAGCTGAGACAGTATAGGCTAGTAATCCTAGTAGGCGAATGAGATAGAGGATAGGACCAAGCGGAACCAATCTTGGATGCAAAGGTTGATTAATTGAAGAAAGAACGAATGTCATGGGGCAGATTGAAATACCCCCGAGATAGCTCGGATGCACGGTGTGACGACAATCGTAATGCCAAGGATACAAAATTACTATACAAAACGCAAAGGAAAGCAGGTCACTCAGTATAACCCCTGTCTAGGAGGTAAGTTACCTCTCTGTCTCGACAAGATATAATTGCAGAATTGTGACTTGTTTGATACAGAGACTGGAAAAGACAGAGATCTAGATGCCCGTATGTCTTCAACCTTTAAAACTAGGGCGTATTGGAGAAGAACTGGACACGTATGCTGTATTGGAAGGTTGTTGGATAACGACCTATATAAATCAGATATCCCCTTGCCCGGCAGCGCTAGTCGTGATTAGCGGTAATTTTTAATTAAGTAGTTTTATTGGTCAGATGGCTTCGATCTTCCTATCCAGCAAGATCAACCAGCAAGAGGGCTCCACCAAGGTGTAGTTAATACAGGGAGATTGGCCACAGGATTAATTCATGTAAAAATCGCTATATTTAAATTAATTGATGCGTCTTGGTTGAGATATCCTGCTTCAATATTTTGTAATGGGGGTGGGTGACGGACTCACCCGTGGACTTCGTTAAGCAGTAACTAAGTGATCACTGAGCGATCACTGATTAACAAATCGTCAAGCGATCGCTGAGCATCTATGATTGGTCACTGAGAAATCACATGACTGCACTGACCAGATCACTAAGCGTGAGCCCGAGCCTAATCGCCCTTATAAAAGCGGGGGCACCCAGCTCAGCGTGGTCCAAAAAAGTTCAACGTGGCCCAAAAGATTCTGACTAATTTTGGGCCACGCCGAGGTGCCGGATCTCACCGGGGCCCAAACCCCTATATTATATAATTTTTTTTAATGCAAAAAAATTTTTAAACACCTTTATTTACCCTTTTTCAAGGTTATTACAAGGTTTCGAAATCTATAAGATGTTAGCGTCTTGGTTCTCACCACCACTATTCGAGGATACTAATCCCGAGGTTATCTCTATGCAATCTACTGCTAGTGCTGCATTAGAGATTAATCGAATTCTTTATGATCTTCCCTCTGTAAGTAGTCCTTTTACATATACTATATGCGAGACTTATGTTTCAAATCAGCGACAAAGATCAGACTCTGAAACTTCAGTGTACCAAGATTGCATCAATACATATGAATCATCTGATTTCGATCCTTATAAGAATAATAAGGAAAATATTAGCTCCTTAGGTTCTAACGCTCTAACGCAACTAAGCTAAACAGGTATAGAAACAGACGGGACTAAAGTGAGCGGTAGCTCTAGAGATACTATAGTTGCCTACGAAGTCTAGGAGCACCTTATTCTTCTAGAGTATCCTAACACGGCTGATAATAGTATTTTATATATCATTCACGCCTCGAAAAATCCATTTGAAAACAGAGAAGACACTGCTTCAAACATTAACTAAGTTACTTTATAACTTATGCTATCGGTAAGTTTAAAATATTTCTAGTATATCTCTAACATATCCCTAGTATATATAACATAACTAATAATCCCAGGTTTAATTCTCCACTAAACACACGGGATCGGCAAAGAAGATCTATACAAAACTTCTCTAAAAAGACTCTAAAGACAAAGAATCAAGATTATAGCATCGATCCTTTAAATATATAGGGATTTAACATTAGCACTAAGCCTATCCTGGTATTATCAACCCTTTAGAAAGATATAACCGTATTAAACTAACACTTTTCCGTGAACTTTAGTCTCTTGCTACAAAGCCTGTATATTATACTATTGCCTAGGAAATCCAGGAGCGAACTAGAGAGTAAGATATATCCTCCCTAGCTTTAACCTCTATTAAGCTTACGCTAAACGTAGATTTTACTTCAGGTTTCTCTATATATATCTAGCTATCTTATAGTAGTATATATATATATCGATCCTATCTACTCTATACTAATCTCTATACTCTACTGCTATCTGCACTATAGTATAAGATTACGGGGGAGTATAAGATATAGGGCAAGATGCCTAAGCCGTTAGGCTATATATCAAGCTGGATTCATAAGGCCTATACTAAGGCCAGAACGATGTTCTGAATCTCTATAAGCTTTATGCTATTATATCATCATTATCTAATCGGATAATCAGGCATAAACAGACGCATCATAGTCATACGATCTATATCATCATTAAGATTGAATTTCATCGTACAATCAAGCAACTGTAAGTCAAACGGCTACTGCATGAGATCACTATGCATCTAGATCTATCTGTATGATATTATTATATGCATCTAGATCTATCTGTATGAGATCACTATATATCTAGAATATATCTAGATCTATCTAGATTGATCATATGCAGAAAATAAGTTTGATAAGTTTGCATAAAATATTGATTATATATATGCCCTGTTTTCTCTACAAAAATTAAGTAAATTATCAATCACACACATAAGCAAGATTCAATACAATCAACCAAGCTTCAGTCCTACCTCACTTTTTTCTTACCTTTATAATCCTAAGCCGAATTGAACTTATCCTTCCTATTCAATCAAGAGGAAGAAAGATCAATCGATCTTATTTAATCATCTTTAATTATCTTCCTCTTTACCAACCTGCGTAGCATCGCTTGCTCACAGTAAAAAGGAAGAAGTTTGAATAAGATAGATCGATCTTTCTTCCTTGGATTGAATAGGAAGGATAAAATCAATTCGGCTTAGAATCATGAGATAAGAGAAAAGTAAGGTAGGACTGAAGCTTGGTTGATTGTATTGAATCTTCGTTCTGTGTGTGTTATGAACATAATTTTGGTAGAGAAAGCAGGATATATTTATAATCAATCTTTTATGCAAACTTATCAAACTTGTTTCTTGCATGTGATCGATCTAGATAGATCCTAGACAGATCTAGATGTATAGTGATCTTATGCTACTTTATGCAGTAGCCGTTTGATTGGTGGTTGCTTAATTGTACGATGTAATTGATCGTAGTGATGATGTAGATCGTATAACTATTGTATGCGTCTTCTTATGCCTGATTATCCGATTGGATAGTAATAACCATGGTATAGCATAAAGCTTATAGAGATTCAACCATGATATGGCCATAGAATAGTTCTTGTATAGGCCTTATGAATCTGGCTTGATATAGTGCCTAACGGCTTAGGCATCTTGCCCTAACTATATCTCACATTAAGACAGGATAAGGATTATGTATACAATTAGCAGAAACACAGAATCGGATCAGCTTGTTTAGTATAAATCGGTGTAAATTCTTAAACGCTTATAAAAGTCAAAATAAAACCTTTATATAGTAATAGGTGTTATGATATTTTGCACCATGAGGCTATTCCTATGTTGAGGCCTGAGGCTTCAGGCCTCCAAGGATCACCAACCATGATATATTGGTTCGGTGATCTATCATCACCCTTTCCCCGCTGTTCCCACGGAGGATAGTCATCCGCTTCCCTGCATGTCTACCCCTCCTTCGAAAGAGGGGCTTACTGTATATAAGGCCCAGCAGTAAACGGGGCAAAGGGGCCCCCTAAGAAACAGTCTCTGTTACAATTTGACTTAGTGCTTTGCTCTCCTACCTAGTTGACAGGCTTTCTACCCTGCAAGTAGACCATATCTTTACAATAGGGCTATAGGCATAGACCATGATTCTAACAATAGGGTACAAGGCTGAAAGCAAAATACTCAAAAATACAGGCGCATTCTGCATAAAATATGAATATCATGGGACTTAACACGTTTGTTATGTTTGTGAAACAGCCCCGCGGGTCTAAACTTCGTGACCAAGAACCGCCCCTCAGCGGGGCGGGGCGGGGCGGTACGCGGGTCTTGCGGTTCCATCTCGAGGCCTACTTACGAATATAACAAAACATGCTCCATAACACTCCCGTGATCACAATAAGGTTAGGGCGACTAACCTTAGAGACTCGACGGATTACTATATAATTATATCGTACTTATAGGCTATCTACTACGTAGCCGAATTTATATTATAAATAGAACTCCTAGGATAGTTCCGATACGTCGAAATCAAACTAGAACTAACAGACAACGAAAATAACAAGCTAGGAAGTCTAGCAGGTATAGGTAGTAAGACGATAGGTAGAAGGAACGCTAAACCTACGGCTAACCGAGAGATCGTAGACGAATATATCTACTACGCTAACACGTCGGTTAGCGACGAACGATACTAATCGAGAACGAAGTAGGAGGATATAGATACCGAAAAAGAGGGAAGGCAGAGATAGAGATACAGAGGAGGCAGCAGGCCACTCTAAGGGTGAATCGAGGGATATATCGTGGGATTAAGGGCATTGCGGGCGTTTTGATACTGTTTTCGGGCTGATTTTATATAGCAAGACGCCGTTTTCCTATGTATTTTATTTCATGCGCGGGTCTAGCGTTCGGAATACTCTTGCTTCCGCCGGAGGAAGCGCCTGCATAGCCATTACGCCACTAGTTAGGCTGCATCAGGTTAATAGAGTGTTGATTGATTGATTGATTGATTGATTGGACGCTCTGCCCGGTCCGGAACGTCATCACCTCCAGCTAATGAACGCTACGGGGATTTCAGTAATTCCAACGCTGCCTCAGCAGCCGAGCATGGGGGATTGAATGCACCCATTGACGGGCTGGAGAGTCTTGTTCCGAAGGGAGAAGCAAGCAAAGTGGGGCTTGATCCGGAGGGAAATGGTCTGCAGGAGCTTGTAAGCGATTCCATCCCAACTTCCATCTGACATTGCTCTCTATAGCAAATTATCGTTGGGAAAACGATGCTAAAGGAAATATTAAACCCCAGGTTTCACTAGTAAGCAACGAAATACAATTGGCCACAACTTCGACGACGAACGATGTCGGAACCATCGTGAGGGATCTATCGCATCATATCCGGAGGCTCGAGAGCCTCTTGCAAGAGTCAGGGGCCGACAAAGCCAAGAACAATGAGACGAGCAGGAATGCAGACGCCCAAGGAAGTCTGCAAACCGGAAACCCCGGTGGCGATACGATAGTAAAGCGCCCAAATGGCAGGGTTACAATAAGAAGAGAAAGAATTGTCGGCTACTAGGACTGCGAGGTATTGCAGATAGTCTAAACGACTCTAGGCTTAGGGACGTAACCGCCTCCCGCCCTTCTAACCCTAAGTTCTGCTAGACGAAGCCCGGAGATATCTAGTAATGATATCTAGACTAAGCTTACGGGTTATAAGGTAAGGGCACCTAGTACACGTACTCAATATTGCAGTTCAGAAGTATTATTCAACTTTCGTTAGATGTATAACCCGCCGAAAACAAATGGCTTGGAGCTGTACCCCTTCACGGTGTCTTGTACTCTCGCCCCGACAAAGTAGCTTTCAAATCGATCGACCTGGGCATTTGAATCCACATGAGAGAATCGACCTCTTGCAGTCGACGGCGGGATCCTTTTCCGAATATAACGTAATTCATCACTCCAGAAGTGTAGGCTGTCGGATTCGACTTCGTCTTGGACGGATAGTGATCTCTTGCCAGATCGTGTGAGATGGATTAAATGACGAAAACAGTCTAAGGTCACTGGGTTTTTCTCGGGCGGAAATTGCAGAAACCGGAAAAAGAGCTATTCAATAATGGCCGGTAAGTTGTATCTTCGGGCAACGGGTTTAATTTTGCTGGACGATGATGCAAAAACTGAAAACACTGCAGCCGGACCTGCCTCGGGCCCGATCCAGGGCTGTCTCCTATTGGACAACGCATCGCTTGGCGGGCAATCCGGGCCCGAAGCAAAATCCGGCTTCGCGATTGGCTGGTGTACATCACTCATAGGGCTGTTCAACAAGTATATAACTAAACCAGCTTGTTCCGAAGGGTCAAGTCTTGCTTCTTCAAGCTCTCCCAGTCACATGATTTTCAACACAAAGATCAGTGAGATGAGCAAAATGAGCGAAAAACATTCAACGGCATCCGAGCCGTTCACGACCGTTCTGGAGGACAAGAGTGACCTTGAAGCGGGCCCCAAAACGATCGTCACCCCCGAGCCTCCCATCGACGCCCAAAACGACAAAGATCCAAATCTCGTCACCTGGAACGGATCCGATGACCCAGAAAACCCCAAGAATTGGCCGAGAGGTCTTAAGTGGAAGAATACCTGGACGGTTTCTCTTTTTGTCTTCATCTCGCCCGTGTCGTCATCGATGATTGCCCCTGCCATGGATGATCTCGCCAAGTCGCTGGGGATGCACAAAGAAATTGAGACATACCTGCCCTTGAGTATCTTCATTCTCGCCTACACCATCGGCCCCATTTTCTTCGGTCCCGCGTCTGAGCTGTACGGTCGAGTACGTTTACTTCAGTTCAGCAACGTGTGGTATCTGGCCTGGAATCTGGGGTGCGGTTTCGCGAGGACGAAAGCTCAGCTTTTTGCTTTTCGTTTCCTTGCAGGTATTGGTGGTAGTGCGCCACTAGCTATTGGAGGAGGAGCCATCAGGTAAGAGAATGATAAGCCAGCATTTACACTCCGCAGAAGCTGACCTCACTGGCAGCGATATGTGGTCTGCGGAAGAACGTGGTAAAGCCATGGGTGTTTATACTCTTGGGCCACTCCTGGGACCCGTCATCGGACCGATCGCTGGCGGGTTTATTGCCGAGTATTCAACCTGGCGCTGGGTATTCTGGTCCGCCTCCGCTGCTGCTGTCGCAGTGCAGATAGTTGGGTTCTTCTGGTTGAAAGAATGCCACCCGGGCACGCTTCTACGAAGGCGACGCGACGTCCTTGCCAAAGAAACAGGCAATGGGAACCTTCACACCGCGAAGAAAGTTGAGACCCTGGCTTACAAGCTTCTTCATGCATTTGAGCGGCCGGTGCGGATGTTCACGACACAGCCTATTGTCTTCTGTATGGCTATCTATATGGCCTACCTCTTCGGCGTCACGTATCTGGTGTTTGCGACCTTCCCAGAAATCTGGACCGTGGTCTACCACGAGAGCCCCGGAATTGGGGGTCTCAACTATCTCTCAATCGCTATTGGATCCTTCATCGGGCTCTTCTTTAACCTCAAGCTCGTGGACCGTATCTACAGAATTCTTAAAGCCCGGAACAATGATGTCGGCAAGCCCGAGTTCCGAATGCCGTCCTTGGCTGTGGGGTCGGTGATCAGCACCATCGGGCTCTTCTGGTACGGCTGGAGCATTGGGAACACCCACTGGATCATGCCAAACATCGGTGCGCTGATCTACACCATGGGCACGATCTCCTGCCTGCAGGGCATGCAAACGTACATTGTCGACAGCTACCAAACCTACGCGGCCAGCGCCATAGCTGCCTGTGCTGTGCTTCGGAGTTTGTGCGGCTTCGGATTCCCGCTCTTTGCCCCCTATATGTACAACACCCTGGGTTATGGGTGGGGCACCAGCGTGCTGGCCTTCATCACCATAATTTTCGGATGGGGGTCGCCATTTATTTTCTGGCAATTCGGTCCCCGGCTGCGTGCCATGTCTGAATATGCCTCTGGCTAAATGGGCAGGATTTGGCACGCGAGGAGGGCTGAGTGAGAGACCGCAGCGGTCGCGAGGTGGGATTGATTTCCGCCTGGATTGAATTCGCCAGACGGAAGTTGTCATTGGGCGGATGGAAGGACGGGCGGACGATGGTACGGGTATTTGTATTATTATCCAGTTGCCATAGAGAAATTGCCCCTATCGGATACGAGACTGTCATGATTTAATTTGTTGATGACCCGTCCTATGAATTATTCTCTCTCATTCAGATAGGAACAGCCCATAGAACCGAACATTCGTAGAACTCCGGTTCCATGCGAGCACGCACATGTATTTCTTGTGGTATACCTATCTATACCTCTGACTTTGACCCTAGCTACATTGGGCTTCTGCGCGGCAGGGCACGATGGATATTGCACAAGCGAGTAAGTCCCGAGTCCTAAAGTGGATGGAAGTTTGCTACAGTATCCAGATGGGATGGATGCTCTTTTTGGATTATTTAACATACGTCTAGCCCGAAAATTTTCTGTGCGGTTGCTCACCTAAATCATAATCAAGCTAGAGCTGGCCAGGATAGATGTGACAACGAATCCAACCATGGAAGGAATTGGTGTATCCACACGCCCCTGCCTCAATTTACATCAAAGTCAGGAATTAACTAAGGTAAATGATCAAGATACTATTAGCAGGTCAGCACATAATAAAATTCTTCTGGAGCCGTCACTTTGAGAGCCTATAACACCCCTTGCCAGCTTCACCATTACCACCATATCGCGCATGGGGAAGAATATATTCCAGTTTATGACATCTCTTGCAATGACACAATTCATCGGTGTAGTCGACTTTGGGGCAAATTACGTGGAATAGTACAATGAGCAATAGAATGAGCAGTAGAGTAACCTTAGTAGTGGAATGACTGTAGATGGCTGTGCTAGCAGAATTGATGGCAGAAAGGAAGCTAGCACCCCGATGCGTGGTTGACCGAAAAAATCAGGCAGACTTCGGCAGGTAGAAGGGGGCCCCGTCTGAGGGAGGTTTGCTCTCTCAATTCGCTCAAACTAATTCGAATCAAGGACATTCACCACAAGACCAACTGCCTGTCAGGTTGAGGCCCCTGCACGATGTGAACGGCTCTGTGACCAGTCGCTACCAAAGCTGAAAAACCGGTGGACCGCATTTTATGACCCGGATTCTGTTGGCGCGTTAAAACCCGTAGTCCAGAGCCGTTCCACATCCAGGTTCCGATCCAACGCGGGCAGGAATCCTCGATCAGGGCAGGTCATCGCCGTGCTAACGGAGGGTATGAAACTCCCCGGAAAACGGGGCGGCATGACCGTCCCCGAAATAGGACGGGCCATATATGGTGAGGTACCTGGGGAAATCATCGAGAATGCAATCGTGCCGTTCCTGTCGCAGGTCTTATGGAAACTGGCCGAGGACCGCAAAGTCGGCTTTGAGCCAGGCGAGACGAATAAACGGCGGTGGTTTGAATTGGTAGCACAGTAATAGAGATTGATCGGTGTAAATAATGGTTTCACAATGCACGTTTTTTTCCCATGACGAAGCCCATGGTGAGTAAAAAGGATTGTACGATTGAATGAACATGGCACTATTACCGTCTCGAAATTTTGCTACCTCTAGCCTCTATAATTCAGGACTATCTCATTCCATCTGCTGCTTGAGCGCCGCCTTGACCCGCCGCTTCTCTGCAATCTCCCGCCACTCTGCCATGGGTCGGTGCAGCACGTAAAATCGTGATCGCGACCGGCGTACGGCTTCCGGACACCGTCGCGCAGCCCCTTGGTAGTACACAGCAACTGCGCGATCCACGGCAGCCTCTTTGACCATCGCTGCCGCCAGCTCGGTGCTATCCACCAGTGTATGGTTGCTGCCCTCGCCACCGAAGATCGGCATCGCATGCCACGAGTCCCCGATGAACACCACGCCTGCCTGCGCAGCTTGCAATGCATCCGCCGTCGGCATGAACACGCATCGACTGATCCAGTGGAACACTGAGTGCTGTCGGATGGTCTCCGGGTTGATGTACCGTGCCCATGGCTCCGCGAGCTGCCGCGACGACAATTCGTCCAGGAGCGCCTGGGGTGGCTCTCGCGTCTGGTCTTCCAGCTTTTTATCATTGAACAATCGGTCATTTTCGCCGCACGCTGGTCGGGAATACGACCAGTCGAGGTGCACCCGCGTCTTCGTGATATTGCAGACCGTAATCAGCGTATTGAACCCGTCGCCCACGCCGGCAAGAATATTAGCATTGCCGATGACAGGACGCATGTACCGGTCGTACTCGTCGCGCGACACCTCGAACTCGCCATGGTAGACCACCACGGGCACCACTTCCGGGACGATATGTGGCAGAACTTGCGAACGCACTGCGTTGGGCAGATGGTCAGTTAATACGTGTCAGTCGATATGCGACCGAACATGCAGACGGTTTCAGCCTTGCGTACCCGTTGAATGCACACCGTCAGCAGCAACCACCGCCGAGCCTTCATATGCAGCTCCATTCTCGAAGACTGCCCGCACGTTGCCCATTGACCCCGAGATGCTCTTGAGTCGATGTCCATAACGCACATCCAGCTGGTCGTCCCCGCAGTCGGCAATCCAGGCCCGCAATGCATTGCGATTCGCTCATGCATGGAAATGGCAAAACCCTGGCTGCGTTCCGGCGGAGAGGCCTCGAAGACGATGTTTGCAATATCATTATTTGTCAATAGTCGCCCAAGGGCAAGGCCCGACAGACCCGCACCGATGATGAGGACAGGGCGTGAATCGTCCGTCTTGTGCATAGGGTCGGGGAGGGAAGGTAGCGGCACGGTGAGATGCTGAGTGATAATAGGGCTCAAAGATCGTGATCTTTTTTCCATTAGTTACAGACGCGTAATCTTAAAGTTTGCGCTCGCTGTTGTCGCATGCTGCCTAAGTCCCGGCCGAACCGTCCAAACCCCCGCAAAATCCGAGGGCCGCGAGGGCCGCCCGCTGAGAGCAAAGCCCGTGAAGGACTCCTTGCTCTCAGCCCAGACTGGTTCCTCCACACATTTGGTCCCAGAATAGCCAATCGGAAGACGAGTCAAGATTGAAGGCGCTGTTCATATTCGGGTCGGTCCTGTTCATGTCGTCGAAAAGCTCGTTGAAAGAAAAGGCCCCATCCGTAGCTTGGTCGGCAGAAAACACGCTGTCATCCCGCTGGTCGATACCTTTGGGTTCGCGTTGAGCGCGCAGCGCGGTAATGAAAGCTGGCTCGGGAGATGAATTACGAGGCGAATTTACTAGCCAGGCCTTCAAAGTGACCTTAGCAATCGTAACGTACAGGGTTCTTCGGCCCTGGACCAGTGCTTCGTGATTCGCGTAGACCTCTGCAACCCTTTTCCAGGCAGCATCGAGCCCTGATGGCGAGTAAAATCCAACCTTCGCAATGCTTCTCAGAATACAGAGGAGGGAATCCCACAAGAAAAACGCTTGCATCTGCCACCGAAACTTTTGCGTGGCGGGATTGCTAAAGATGGCACTGCTGGTGTCGAGTACCTTTTCGGCAAGGGTGCAGACGTGTCTCCGCTGTGCGTCGGTGATGGTTTCTTGCATGAGCAGCGGCATCCGCGCACGTAACCGGACGGCACTGATGGCCGATCGCATAATGCCGGTGGTCAGAAAGTGTAAGGGGTTCATGATGTCACAGTACCGCAAAAACTTCGTCTCGATGAGGTCTTCCACCTCGTCGATCAGCCGCTCAATATCCTCGGGATCCCGGAACTGGATTGTACCCCCGTTTTCCTTCAGCTTGACCCCTGTTCGAGTGTAGAAATTTGACAGCTCCATCCGGGACAAGCAAAAGATCATCTCCGATGCGCCTCGTTGGTCATGAGGCGGCTCGGTCATGCCAGGGAAGATCTGGTCATCGTTAATGTTTAACGGTTGCTTAGTATCCCAGCTGTCGGGTGAGACGGATATACCCGTGCCGGATGTCTGACCCGCGTAGCCGTCCAGGGGTAGCAGTTGCCAAAAGAGCCGCCGGCGCATCTGGACCTCAAATGGGGGCAATCCGAGGCTTTCGTCGTTCCGGTGTAGTCCTATGCGTTGGGCCAGGCGAATTGCAATCCCAGTCAAAATCCAGAAGGTATGAGAATCGATCTGAGTGCGCAAGGCGATAAGAAAGAGTGTGTAAGCCTGTAAAACCGGCATCGCGGTCGTCTTGAGCCAAGACACATTTACTAATGCCTGGGTGACTGCGGTCCGGTATTTGGACATCAAGTGGGTCCTCGAATTATCGAGTTCGCGTGAACACTCGTCGCCGGACATTGAGAATACGGCGAAATAATAGATGACAAACAGCACGCATTCATCGTTCTTCGAGGCGGTCGCTGGGTGCTTGGAGACGGTGTCGACCATCTTGGCGACCGTCGGAACATGAAGAACCTTGCAAAGAGGCTCGACGTTCTCCACGTAGGTATGCCAGAGCTTGGCCGCATGCTCATAGCTAGGGTGAAGGTCGGTGAGGCTTATCGTGCTTCTGAGAATTGCGTCCGAGATCGAATGCGCGGCGAGGGCACCGAGAAGACCGGTCGGAGTGGCTTTGTCGGGTCCAGGCTCGTCTTCGTGATAGTTTTCTTGCTCGGACTCGGACAACTCACATAGGTCACCTTCGCCAGCGTCGAGGAGCAGAACATTGTCAATGTAGCGAGAATTGCCAGTGATGGAAAGAAGTTTACCCGCCGTGGCGTCAGCCTGCGAATTCGCTGACCCTGGAGTCGGAGCCTGTATGCTGTTTGCTGAGGCCTCCAAGTCTCTGCCGCTGGTGATCGAGGCAGCGGCTGTCGGAAGGAGATTGTGGTCGTGCAAGATGCGCTCGTAACGTGCCAGCCGTTCATGTACGTCTTCCTCGCCCCGGCTACGTTTCCTCTTGCGCCGTGGCGGCCGTGGCTGATAGACACACTCGAGCTTGGTCTTGATGCAGCTGGCACACTTGGGCACCGCGCGGTTGCACTTGATCTTCTTGTGCACACAGGCTTGGCAGTTGAAGCGGACTGGGGTCAACGGGTCGGTTTCGGAGGAGCCATTGTGTGCGTCAAGGCGGAGGGTCCTTGCGGGGGCGGAAGCAAGTGGGACAAGATGGGGGACAGCCTTGGTGTCCCTTGTATCCTCCATTTATGGGGAACCGATGTTTCCGCTCTCTCATGTGTTTATCACTGTCGTTTCCTTTCGTAGTCTGTGTTTGTGTCGCACGACTTGGGGAGGCACTTCCCTGCCATTCCTTCGCATTAACTGATGTTCCGCCCACGAGACTACCCCGCGAGTCATTGAAAAAGAACCCTGGTCAGTTGGGCAGTGGCCCAGTTTCCGCCGAGACACAACTCGACCAAATTTCATGTACTTGAGATTGTCTTCGTAGCTGATTGCCCTAAACCGAAGGTATTTTATCCTCCTGGATAGGTACGTATTAAAATAATGTCAAATTCTTCTGTCAGAACCAGCTAAAAGCGTATGAACTAGTATGCATGGTGGTGAATGAGAACTCTTTATCGTCACGACTGCGCCATCCTTTCAAATACTCTGGATCAATCGTCACCCAGCGTTTTAATTGCTCTTAGTGCTCCATTTTATACTAAAAGTAAGATGCTATCGATCTCCTATTAGCTTGACCGGTCACTAGGGTGGGAAGAAGGGGAGATTTGAGATGAAACCAACCCATAATATAGACATTCGTTCGAATCACGATAAGCGCTTGACTCCACCACAGCACCTGCCCGAGCACCCGAGCCAGCAAATAGTGCAAGAGCACTCCTCGTTTGCACACGTGCTCTCTCGTGCTTGTAATCGTGCCAATCGTCCCCGAAAAGGCCGCGCAGAAGGTAATCGATGTCCTTTACTACGATCATAAAGCGCTCTCGTGGCTTCGTGGGTAGTTAATATTTGTCTGTCAGATCCTGCCTAATGTACTTCAACTTGTTAGAAAAAATAATGCCGAGGAGACCTAGGTAGACTTAAGTTTAGAACACCATCCTTAACGTGCTTTGGCAGAGATCGATAAGTCTCTCGCTCCCATCTCGAAGTAAAGTTAATGAGATTCTAACACGCAGACTTCTACGATGGTAGGTTTTGTGACGAATCTAGACTCTGGTAAGCCTGAGAGATCAGGCCATGAAGATGCGAGGAAGAGAGGTGATATAAAAACCCCTAGCTAGTGTAGTGGGGGAACTGATGACGGGTGCTTGGTAGCCCGGTTTCTTCAGCGGAACTTGCTTTGTTGATTTGATCGCGTCGTTCTCTTGTTTGATTTGTTTACATCGTTTGATTGGTTTGACTTCTGCGAATAGCTTCATATAAGATGGGAAGAAGAACCCTTAGGAGGATACGCTTTTGACATAGAGATTGCTTCGGAATCCTCCACCATATGTTTCTTTGCGTTCTCCGGTTGATTTAGTCATACTGTGTTGATGATAATACTTCATGAAAATTAGTGATAGAATATTTCTATTGCGCTGGGAATTTCCGTTCTAGGTGGCGCACCCACTAGCCGGAGGAGGTAACTTGGAAGGTACTAATATCCCGAAATGTAATTCTCATTCAACTCGCGATGGCAGGGTATCAAAAATATGACTAGGCACAAAAGAAGTGCTCCAAAAGTCTCTTTTGTCCAACAAGGGCACATGCAACTGGATATTAAATTTTTTAGGTAAGAACATTATGTTGGAAGGGCTTTTGAGCTTTGAGTAACTCAAGTTTTCTCACTTCGTTCGAAACTGTGAAATGATCTGAATTCTTGTCAAAATTGTCACAATTCTGACCGACTCACTGCCTATGCAGGGCTTCCAATTGGGCAGCCCGAAACATCTCTCCCAAGGCACCATCTGTCCGCAGGTAAGTGCGATTCCCTTTGGTGAACCAAAAGCTAATTGCAAAAACTAGCATCGCCCCAAAGACGACAATAGCCCAGTTCATTGTGACAATTGTAGGGGACGGGGAGCCAGGGAACAAGAAAAATACCGTAGTAACGCAACAGTATATGAGTCCAACCCAGTTGATAATTGGGCGGAAGCGTCCAAGAGAAAATGAATGAAGGGGAATATCAGACATTCCAAAAATGACAATGGCGAATATCGGCAGCGCGTATGATATAGTCAAAGCGATTGTGGAGACGCTGACCACTGCTTCCACGGCCGCATCTGTGAAGAAGTACAGCAGGCCCACCAAAGAAATGATAGCACCTTGAGCCCAGAGAGCCCGTGCCGGAACCTTCCAGTAAGAATCGACATGCGTCAGGTAGTTACTGAATGGGAGGCCACCATCGCGTGCAAAACCCCACGTCAATCGAGACGCAGTTGTCATAATGCTAATACCTTGACCCAGCATGTTGCATATGTTGATCAGATCTGGACTGGAAGTAAGTAAACCCCAACACCTCTATTCCGCTTCAAAAATCCATGCTGATATGGCCGTTTGTTAGTTATGGGCTATTCGGCAGATTCCCTGCCCCATATCGGACAAGTCCCCGGGAAGCCAGGGCAATTCTTCATTGCGGGGTTCACCGGCCACGGAATGCCGCAGGCATGGCTTTCCGGTAAGGGTATAGCGGCTATGGTTGCGGAGGGGATCCCATTTGCTAAATCTGGGATCCCAAGGATCTTTGAGACTACTCAGGCTCGTCTTGAAAAAAACAGGAATGACATACTAGAGATGATGGGAGAGGTTACTAAGCCGAGTGCACGCTTGTAACGGCACACCGTGGAATTGGCATTTGTCGCATTCTTCTCGTGGCAGCGAATGAACTGTCATAGTTTCCGTTATGTGCAATAAAATGAATTACCAAAACATCAAAGACTTTAAATTATGCTGTCCAAAGTCAATATTCGTGATTGTTACAGTAGTTTGGGGAAATGTGCATCCCTATCTATTCCCTTTGCGAAGGCTGTCCCAAGGTGATATTTCCCACCATGGATATTTACCACGTGTGGAGATCTAATTGAATTCCAATCCCACTGTGCCTAATCCTAGGAGATGTTGATTCTCGGAGGAGCAGGGGATAGCTCGTTGATGGTGTAAATAGTTCGTTGGTAGAGAGATTGCCATACCCATGCGCCGCGGACGTACACGAATACCGCACGCCATAAAAGTTCAATTCCATTTTTTCCACTTTGTATGTGTTATATTAGTAGTTCAGCAAAATTCCTATTATCTATTAATTAATTTAGGCATGGTTGTGGCGGTTGGTGGTAATAGAAAGTTGATAGACTAGGCAGATTTTGACGTTGGAAAGTTTTTGACGTTGGAACTTGGACCACCCTCACCCGCAAGCAGGGTGGTCAAAGTCACCGATACAGGGGATTTCGAAAACAGATTACCCCAGAGACACACACGCTTTCTTTCTCAGCGCGCCCCTTCCTCTCACTTCGTTCGTTTTAGGGCATGATGTTCCCGCTTTGGGTGGGCGGTAGGCACGGATAATATGTTGTCACATGAAATCACATAATGATATACCCCTAAAATTACTGGAAATACGGTTACTGTACATTCTCGTCAACATCGATGCCTGTGATCACCCACATGCTCCGCCCCGCTTTGGGGCTGTTACACCGCTCTGTGAGACTAAAGACCAGCTATTAGCTAGCAGCCACTTAATATAATTAATCGACGGTTGAATCGCTTATATTCCCTGCCCTAACGTGTTGGTGCCGGAGGCTTGTATTGAAACTATTCTAACGCTTCCCCAGTCCAAGGCATTGCCGTTGTAGGCTTCAACATCCAGCTTTCCGAGTCTGTTTACTCCACCCCTCTCTTTTGCTCCGTTTTTGACCACCTCGATGACATTTCCTCCCCAGGGACCTCTACTGAGACGGGGACCTTGGACTTCTCTGGTCTTGTTGCCCACCTCAACGAGTATGCCATTTACCAGTATTCGGGTTCTCTCACAACTCCACCCTGTACTGAGGGCGTGGCCTGGTATGTCAGTGCTGAACCCTTGGCTCTTGACGTCCGGAGCTACAACAGGATCAAGAGGGTGCTCAAGTTCAACTCCCGCTATACCCAGAATGCCCTGGGTCGGGATAACTTGCTTGAGATTGCAGCCGCGATGTTGAATTAGGGGGTTGCAGTGGAGAGATGGTATCAAACACTCTTGATAAAGAGCGATAATACCACATGTTCTGTATTGGGCGGTATTTATAAGACTTTAGGATGGTACATAATCAGAACGTAAACAGATCTTGCCGTGAACATATTGAAGGATACGCATATAAGGGGAAATAGATGAATAAAAATGAGTGGGGGGAGTATTATAAAGCACTGAATGATACATTCCCTGGACATGAATCACGCATTACCTCAATGGCTTATTCCGTCCTTATCCAATTATCTCGGTAATTGGACTGTCTGTATTCCCACTTCTGGATGACGGGTTGATAGACCAACTACCGGATGATTCCCTCATTCGCGGTTAGCCATGGAGTCAACTATACTACGCAGATGGCTTCTTCAAGGATGCTTCTCCGAAATATGACAGGCGAATTATTGAAAACCTATCGGCTGATACCTTGAGAAGGTATCTGTGCTTCTGGTTAGGTGTGCGCATCGCAACTGCAAGTAAGAGGATGTTTCAAGTTTGTTTACCTCCCACGAACAGCAGCGCTGATTTTTCCGAAAATGCAACTTCGTCATTGGATAGAATATCGAGGTCGACAATTTTCCTCCGCTCAGCTAGCACAACAACTGGAAATGGGGTGGAGAGCAGTCTCAAGGACAAAGATGCATGCACAGCTATTCTCTAGATCTCTGCTCCTAAATGTCAACAAAACCACGGCCTGGAGGTTGCTCTCGACCACCAACACCCAAGTGACAAGTACCGTTCCCTATCAAAACGAGTTTTCGCGGGTTTTCTGCTCCTTTGACTCATCCCCGTTTCCTGACCTCCCTTTTTCTAGATTCTTCCGACTCCTCGTCTTCTTCTCCTTTCCTTCATTCTTTTCTAACTTCATCTACCTTCTGCACCTCTATCCTATTCCTTATCATCAGCCATTCAAGTTTTCCATCTTCTCACTCAGCGTATCATCCTTGCCTCGCTTTTCCAGCCCCTCGTTGTTAACACCTTGTGAATTTTATGTTCCTTGAAGGCCACATTGCATGCAACCCGTAATGGATACAGCAGGCCATCACAAGAACCCAAAGCTTCGCTGGGATACCTACCAGCTATAAGTTTTGTGCTGTCTCTACCACTTTTTTGAGTGCAGCAATGACCGACTCTCGATCCTATTTTTGACAATCTTCTGCAGCCACCTGATGAACTGCGGCTCGGGTAGCGACAATGTCTCGTACTCCACGCTGGATGCACCGTTGGCTTGGTTGAAACGGCAGAATCGACCTGTCTGGCACCATGTTCAATTCCGTAAATGGCCGGTCTGCTTGGTGATGTTCTGACTTTTCCTGGTGATTCCGAACATGGCATTCCATATTACACGCGCGGTGCCTTCGACCCCCTGAGCGTCGTCGGTAGGGGGTTTGAATATATGCCCGTAACCGCTTGGGTGTCTGTTCCTGTAAATTCCGCGCTCATCTACCTGGGTTAATATCGTCTCTACCCTGGGTATCGGGCACCTACCCTGTTCGGTCTAACCATGGGTTGGTCTCATCGATATTCCCGGGCTGAATCACTGATGTCTCCTGCGGTGCCGTGCAAATACGGCTTCCATGTCATCGATTACCTGCCTTACCATGAAAGCGAGTCAGCAACAGCGAGATCTAATCTAAGGAGCACCCAATGAAATGGAAATGAAATCCTTATGTCATGAGATTGGCGCTTTGACTGCAGAAAATCTCGTCTCTGGAACGGTAAATTGTGCAGACACGCTTTACGGATACTGAGAGTTTGAGGAATTTGATTGATTGAAGAAAGGCTACGGGGTCGGCCGAAATACTGTAAGGGCGGTAGCAGTGGGCCCATTCAGCTTGAAAAGCATTTGGAATATCACTGAGACCAGAAGGTCTCGGCCCTCACTCGCGCCCTTGATTGGGTGTCTATATTTGAGCCATGCAAGGCCTTGTGCAAAGCCTGATAAATATTTGGAATGTGATCTACTCGCCTCCCCGCCTTCACAATTTTCTCTACTGGGAGACGATTCTAGCTGCCGTGGGATAGAAATTCAGTAGGACACCGAGCAGATGCATTGCGACAAATGAGGATATTTATCCTACTCCTCTCTACGAAGAGCCACTGTCTCTCATAGCAGTTCATGCCGATTATTTTGAGTTGATAACTCTGCCCTCTGAGAACCGGCTGGTAGCTCCTTTAACTCAGCATTCTGTGCCCGAGGCCCCGACTTCCCTGGAATTTTGTTCGTTGGCTCCCAGCCTAACGGTTTGGTATTCATCTTGTGCCTGCGACCAACACACCAAATTGCCGTGCCCGCAACTAAAGCCAACCCAGCCAAGACCCCGATTACCAGGCCCGCAATCCAGGCCTTTGAGGATGAGTGACCTGCCGAGGATGTTTCGACGGCTGGCGTTGTCGTTGGCGTGGGTGTTGAAGTCACAGTCTGGCTAGGTGACGCAATGATTGCAGCGGTTGTGGCGGTTTGAAGATTCTCCAACCCCGATGACACTGTCAACGTATTGTACTTTAAGTTGAAAGAAGATATCGTGACACTTGTGGACCAAACCGACGAGCTTGCGTTGGTACCACGGGAAGCCCATGTGCTCGTCGAGGCGAAGCAAGAGGCGCCTAAGGTGGACGAGGTCATGTTGCAATCCAGTCTCCCAGTGATAACAAAGATAGTGCTGTTGAACAAGCTGGTGACATCGTAATAATAGTCCTGAAATGACGGGCCCTTCGTGAGGGTCTGGGGTAGGACATACCCAGAGGAGATACATTGGGCGGTTACGCTGGAACGGCAATCAATCTGAATAGTGGTGGATGAGGCATCGGCGCTCATAATACTTCCTTCCAGGTTGTTCATGTCCATTTCATTCAGGGCTGGGAAGAGAATGTCGATCTCAGTTGATTGTGCCGTGGTTGTGCCCGCCACAGTTGGCACTAGTAAGGCCACCGCGGCCACCATAAAGAGAGTCATCAGACCAGGACATGGAAGGAACGATAGAGAATGTTTTAGACTTCTATACCCGCGCTGGGGACAACCAATTTTATAAGCTTGGGCTCTTAATCCGACGACCAGCATACACAAGCTAGCGGCTTACTAGTCTTTACTTAGTTCGAGAAGAGGTGATAAACGAAGGCGGTGATAGGACTGTAATACGTATGGCAGAAGATCGATTTTTCGTTGGTCATAGGTTGCACCCAACGGGTCTACAGATAATATGTTAGATAGGAACGGATAGCCCCGAAATGCGGCATTTCCTTTTCTAGCTCACAGATCGACAGCTGCGAGATTTGGGCTACCACAAGGCTTGGTGTAGAAAAAGAATTTTCAATCCAAAGGAGGGCGATATTATCGAGTGAAATTGGGGGCCGCCGTAAGTTGAAAAAAATTATTAACTTTAAGTTTGAGGTATTTGGAATGTTCTCCGGTCTAGTTCACTTTAAGATTGACTACTATAGGAAGACCTCACAACAGATCTCAAAGATCAACCGATTTACAGTGGTGTTCCAAGAGTTTTTGCACCCCGAGACATGATTTTCTTTATGGTTATGCCAGCTTTAACCATTCTACACCGCTTACCACGTTATATACTGGGACACGCTTGGATCAAGTTGGTTAGAAGACCTATACCCCCTGAACTCTCTATCCTTTACTCATACGGTAATATTTACTACGAGGGGTAATCTCAATGTGAATATATTGGAAATGGAAATGATTTTGTCACTGGCAGAAGTAATAGGGCGCGGATCTCCGAAGTATAGTAAAGGGGTGCAAATACTCTTGAAATGTGACTGTACCATCTTCTACTGGCCATTCTCGGTACTAGTCCGTACATCAAACTGCCGATTTTACACTTAATATGTGCCTTGACAGCGCACCCACCCCTCCAGCGTGCCATTCACAACTTCAAGCACTGCGAAGATTTCTGGACTGGCAGTACGCAAAGTATTATTTGCAATAGGTTCAGACGGTTTCCTTTGTGCTTAGCTCCAAGATCCCGAGCCGATATTATTAGCTTATAGTTAGCTGAACAGTTTCGGTCATTCCGGAGGTTGCAACTGTCGATCAGGTCTCCATCTAGATATCCGGGTCCACACTTAGACTTTGTCTCAGCGCCACGCAGTGGAGCTAATCAATTTTGAGCGAGGACTTATCAGTGCCTTACTGCGCACCCAAACCGCTTAAGCGGGAAGCGGTTTGGGTGCGCGAAGGCACTGATATGTTTTCCTGTCAAATTATTGGTAGCGAGGCGACCAGGCTGCCTGTGGCAGCCTTGGGCAAAAACTGTGACCCGTTCGGTCACGTTCATTTATTACGGCGCGGTTTCATTACCAGAGGAAGTGGACGCCATTGTGGTATACTCCACAACGCAGGAAATAGTTGAGTCCGACAACAAGTTGACCCACCCTCGACAACAGTATCCACACTAGGCCTAATCGGGAAATTTGGAAGGAACCTCCCGGCAAGTTTGGGACCCACCTTGTATACCTTGGCATACAGCCCCACTTGTAACTTACCTTCTTCTACATCTCCTCCTATCCCTGGCTATCCCCCCCACGGTAAGTTTCATCCCCCAACCCCTGGATTCATCGATTTCCATCGATTATCCATCAAATATCCATCAGATAACTAACAGGCTTCTAGATTCAGCAGTTTTCAAGACATTTCCATCGATTTCTGGCGCAAGGTAAGTACTTGGTTTATGGTGAGATTGGTGGTTGCAGGGGGTTGAGAGTAGCCTGGTGTCTGGTAGATATCTGACGGGTATCTAGATGCCTGGCGTTGAGGTCAACAAGCTAAAGTTCCTTGTAAACTGCGGCGCGTTTACCCGTTACCTGACTAATGCCCAATCTGGTGTCCTGGCACTGCCGGTATATGACCGAGTAAGTTGATTAAAATCCCTAGGTTATCTGCTAGATATCTAACTGCTTATAGAATGAAAATAACGAGGTTATTGTGTATGTTGGTGAGGTGTTTTGCCGTGTTGTGGACTGCGAGTATAGCCGAGTAAGTCTAAGTCCTATAGAGTCTATCAGATGATTAGGAGATAACTGACAGATATCTAGAAGCTATTCTAGAAGACAGTTGGCCTTCGTGAGTACCTGAAACTGGCCTATACGGAGTAGTAAGGACGGTTTTACTCCCGTTAAGCTAAAGGCTAGTAATCTAGATACAGCAACGAAGGACGCCGTAAAGGCCTTCTTTAATTATCTTTATACCTGTGCCCCTATATCCCCTGCTGCCCCTGCCGCCCCTGCTAAGATAGCCCTCCCCCTTAAGAAGGGTAGAGAGGTAAGTGGATAGGTATCCGCTAGATATCTAATAGATAACTAATAGGTTCGATAGGTTAACAAGGGCGAAGTCGTGCGTGTAACGGGCCCATGCCCGTATATGACCACGTGACCGTGGCCTTCCGCCCCAATTCAGCAATACGTAAACACGGCAGCTCCCTTTTCCTTCCTTTCTCCTCAAGATTGTTGTAAACAGTTCGTGGCCTAGTTAGATTGAATCAAATCGGCTTCAGCCCTTCACATACAACAATCTTCCGATACCCTATCGTAAAACGGCCACGGAAGCCTCCGAAAGACTCGGAGCACACGACGACGAACAGACTGCGCAGTCTGCACGGCCACGATCGCCGATAATAGGCGACTTAAATAATAATAGAACGCCCGATTGGGCACGAGCGATCATAGAGCAGAATGCCTCCCTCCTAAACCAGAACGCTGCTCTAGTTGACCAGCTCAACGAATATAAAAGACGAATAGACGCGCGTATTCGGGCAATTGAGAACAGACTATTATATACGCCTACCCCTACGCCCGCTTCCGCGCCCGCCTAGGCGTCTAAGACGATGACCTAGGAGACGGCAGCGCGAACGCCCCTCCCTGATTCACCACGATCGGAACTAGTCCGACGCCCTCGCCCACGACTACTAGACCCCCCGCCCTTTAAAGGGGATCGCTCGAATTAGCCTATATTCCGGATAGCTATTAAGAACAAATTACTCGTGGATTCGGAAGCCCTTAGGGACGATCGTGCTTGTTTGCTTTACGTCTACTCCCGGTTAGAGGGAAACGCTAGTAAGAACACTGTTGCTTTTATGTAGTATCGACGACAGGATAGAAAAGCCCAAGATCTAATCCTATACCTCGAGAATATATACGGCGACCTAAACCTAAAAAAGAGGGCCACCTAGCGCTTAAGAGAAATAAAACAAGGACTAAAATAATCCTTTGCTAAGTTTTTACCCGCTTTCGAGAAGGAATTTGCAGATTCGGGAGCTATAATATAGCCGGAAGATATAAAGATATCAATTCTGACTGGTTCCCTAAACCTATCTATACGATTAGCCCTATCGTATAGGGAAAGCCCCGGAAACCTCGTAGACTTTATCCTATTACTACGACGGATCGACACCGATCTCGACCTCCTGTTAATAGAATTAATATAACAGGAGAACGGATACGAAAGGCAGCTAAATCGTTCGCGATTACTAGTCGCGGATTAGATAGATTAGACCTCTACGACTAAGGTAAACCGAGTACGACCGGGCGATACCCTAGTAAAGCGAGCTAGATAGGTCGACGAGGACGAGATAGACCGACGACGCGAAGAAGGTCTCTACTTCTGTTGTAGACGCAAGGGCTGCTAGGTTGCTACTTGCCCCTTCCTCCCGCCTATTAGATCAGGCTCTAAGAGCCGCGCGGCCAAGATAGTTATTACGGGGAAGGGCCGGAAGGGTACGAAACCGTCTACTAGAGCGAAGAAGTTATATTCTGCTATACCTAGCGAGAGCGAATCTGGACCGTCCGAAGGCGATACTGACCTTAAGGGTAATTCGGAAAAAGACTAGCTCCTGTTCTTAGCCGCGAATAGGAGCAAAAGGGTATTAAGGATCTAGTAAGGAAGGAATCGCTACCGTTTTATGTAGACGCTAGAGTGAATAGAATCAAATTTACGTAAGTACTAGTTAATAATAGTTATACTAGCTATACTACGGTAAACGGCCTCCTCGCGAGATCTCTCGATCTCCCGCGTATCCGCCTTAACGTACCTAGGCGGCTAGACGGCGTGATTTGCGACCTTGGAACGATCACGTATACGACCTATTTCGACCTAGACGTACATAGACACAAGTAATCGCGCGTGTTCGCGTATATTATAGAGTAGCAAGATAACGAGATAATACTAGGTAATGCCTAGATAAAGTATATAGATAGACGCTACTCTGCGCGGAAGGGGTACCTAGATATTTATAGCCTAGACTGTGAACGTATACGCTGCTGGAATAGGGCTAACCGTACGATCGGTCCAATTAGTATCAAGACGCTACGCGCGCAGAAGTCCTCGGCTATAAAGATCAAGAGTGTTCTAGATAGCGCCGAGCACCCGGAACGCCTATAAATTAGAAAGGTCTCACTAGCCGATATTGAAGTAGTATTGCGTATAAAGAAGTATATAGACCTAAAGGAGAAGCTACTAAAGCACTACTAGAAGTAGGCTAAAGCCTTTAGCCGGTAACTTGCGAACGTACTACTACTAAATCGGCCCGGGACTAACTATCGGATACCCCTGAAATATAATAAGGACGGGCGTGAAGAATCACCCCTATATAGACCCCTCTATAGTATAAACAAGGAAGAACTGCTATATCTCCGGAAGACCCTAACGGACCTATTAGATAAGAACTTTATACGAGTTAGCTAATCGCCTACGGCCGCCCTAGTCCTACTAGTACGGAAACCGGGAGGAGGCGTACGATTTTGTGTAGACTATCGCGGCCTAAACGAGCTAAGCGTGAAGGACCGCTACCTCCTCCTACTAATCCGTGAGACCCTTCGTAATATAGGAAACGCCCGTTAGTTCACGAAGCTAGATATTATCGCTGCCTTCTACAAGATCCGAATTAACCCGGGAGAAGAATAGAAAACTACCTTTCGCACACGATATAGTCTTTTCGAATAGAATATAACACCTTTTGGACTTACGGGAGCGCCTGCTACTTTTTAGCGGTTTATTAATCGTATACTTTAAGAGTTCTTAGATAATTTCGTCTCTGCTTATATCGACGATATTATTATCTACTTAGACGGCTTACGCAAGGATCACCGCCGGAAGGTCGCGAAAGTGCTACAGAAACTTCAAGACGCGGGTCTCTAATATGATATTAATAAGTCAGAATTCGAGCAAGATTCGGTTAAGTATCTCGGGTTTATCGTCCGTGCGGGTAAGGGCGTATACGTCGACCCGAAGAAGGTAGAGGCTATCCGTATATAGGAGACGCCGAAAACGATTAGGGACGTACGGGGATTTATAGGATTTACTAATTTCTACCGGACGTTTATCCCTAGGTTCGCGGACCTAGTAGCCCCCTAACTAAACTAACGCGAAAGGACGCGGAATTTGAATAGGACGGCGAGTACGAGCGAGCGTTTAACGATCTTAAGGAATACTTTATAAACGCGCCTATCCTCGTATATTTCGAAGAGGATCTAGAGACGGTCGTTAAGACAGACGCTTTAGGATAGGCTATAGGTACTATACTCTTATAGCAGTAGCCGAACGGAGAACTAGCCCCTTGTGCCTACCTCTCGTAGAAGTTCTCGCCTATAGAGGTAAACTACGAGATTCACGATAAGGAACTACTTGCGATCGTATAGGCCCTAAAGGAATAGAGACCGGAGCTAAAAATAGTGCCGAAGTTCACGATTATTACCGACTACAAGAACCTTTAGTACTTCCGAAAGGCATAGTACTTGACCGAACGGTAGATACGATAGTCTACGCTCTTATTAGAGTTCGATTATAACCTTTAGTATCGCCCTAGTAAGCTAGCTATAAGGCCCGACGTACTCTCTAGAAGGGGACAGGATATCCTAAAAGATATAACGGACGAGAGACTCACGAATCGGTTCCGAACGCTCCTAAAGCATATAAGGATTAAACCTAGTCGTACGGAGACGGAAGTAAGCGATAAGGATATACTATTAGACTTCGAAATAGAGGTCCCCCTATTTAACTAGGCGGATATATAGCAAGAATAGACACGATCGCGAATATAAGACCCTGCTTATCACGCGATCTTAACTGCCCTTTATAACAGTAACCGACGAATTGTAACCGAAGTCGGTATTAAGATAAGCCTCTCTGAATGCTACCTAGACGAACAGGGCCTTCTCTACTATCGCTAACGGGTGTAGATCCTAGAGGGTAAGAACCTACGTACACGGATTATCTAGTAAGTCCACGATTTATACGTTATAGGCTATCCTAGCCGAGACGCAACGTATACGATCTTATCTAGACGGTTCTTTTAGCCTAGCGTAGTAAAGGATATACGACGATTTTTACGTAATTGTATAGTCTACGGACGAAGCACGATCTAGCGCGATACGAAGTATAGGTTATTAAAACCGCTACCGATCCCTTAACGAATCTAGGCCGATATCTCGATGGACTTTATAACCGATCTCCCTCCGTCGGGCCCGATAGGAGCAACGAACTGTCTTGTTATTACAGACCGGCTCACGAAAGGGATTATCCTTATTAGAATAAGCGAGACTACCTCAGAAACGGTGGCGAACGCGTTCCTAACGTACTTCTATATGCATTATAGTCTCCTACTAGTAATTACGAGCGATTGTGGGCTGTAGTTTGTAAGCGTATTTTAGAAGATAGTCTGCGATAGACTGTTAATCGAACGGCGACTGTCAACGGCCTTCTATCTATAAACGGACGGTTTAACAGAACGGGCGAATCAGGAAATTGAGCGAATCTTGCGCGTCTTCGTAGCGTACGCCTAAGATAACTAGGCCCCTTTGCTCCTAATTATAGCCGGGGCTATTAATAACCGAGACGCTATATCTACAGGATTATCACCGTTCTTCTTCACGCATAGTTACCATATTAACCCTATCGTATTAGACGAGGGGTCTAGCGAGATAATACTTACACGCCCGGAGGCAGCCGGACAAGCCTTTGTGGACCGGCTAAAGGAGGCGATAGATTAGGCATAATCGGCAATCGCTATAGCCCAGGATCGCTAGCAAGAGTAAGCCAATCGGAGCCGATAGCTAGCTCTAGTCTATAAAGTGCATAATCGGGTATAGTTGAATCTCCGCAACGTACGTACGCAGCGCCCCTCGAAGAAGCTTGACTAGTTGTATGCGAAGTATAAGGTCTTAGAGGTACTAACGCCTCATACCGTCCGATTGAATGTCCCAACCGGTATTCACTCGGTCTTCTATGTAGAACTCGTCCGGCCGGCGGCCACCGACCCGCTTCCCTCGCAGGTTATGGATGATTCTGAGCTACCACCAGTAGTGGTAGATAGCGAGCGGGAGTTTGAGATCGAAGCAATCTTAAACATACGGAGACGCCGCCGTGGGCGTCGTTCACGAATAGAAGCGCTTGTGAAGTAGACGGGATATCCAGAGCCTTCATAGGAACCCTTAAGCGAGCTTCAGGATGTCTCGGCCCTCGACGATTACGAGCGAAAGCATGGCCCCGTCCGCGAAGACGACACGAGAGACGGCGAATCGACAGTTCGAACGAGCTTCCTACACCCCTAATAGAGGGAGGAGGGGAGTAATATAACAGGCCTATGCCCGTATATGACCACGTGACCGTGGCCTTCCGCCCCAATTCAGTAATACGTAAACACAGCAGCTCCCTTTTCCTTCCTTTCTCCTCAAGATTGTTGTAAACAGTTCGTGGCCTAGTTAGATTGAATCAAATCGGCTTCAGCCCTTCACAGTGCGTATTCTAGGCTTAAATGCTAGGAAGGATATTCCCTGCGCTACCTGTAAGGCGGCAGGTCTTCCGAAGAGTAAGTAGTTATCCTATAGTTATCTAATAGACGTCTAGCTAATCTCTTTAGGATATATTTATAATAAGGAGATCTGCTGTTATGATATTTTGCACCATAAGGCTATTCCTATGTTAAGGCCTTAGGCTTCAGGCCTCTAAGGATCACCAACCATGATATATTGGTTCGGTGATCTATCATCACCCTTTCCCCGCTGTTCCCACGGAGGATAGTCATCCGCTTCCCTGCATATCTAGCCCTCCTTCGAAAGAGGGGCTTACTGTATATAAGGCCTAGCAGTGGACAGGGCAAAGGGGCCCTCTAGGAAACAGTCTCTGTTACAATCTGACTTAGTGCTTTGCTCTCCTACCTAGTTGACAGGCCTTCTACCCTGCAAGTAGACCATATTCTTACATCTGCGATTATCTAGCTACCTTTACTATCCTAGAGGAAGACTATAAAATTCTAGATAGATACCCTTATTAGTCTTAGTTCCTAAATTAAAAGACCTTTTTTTGAGAAATTAACTATTATTCTTAGTTTTAATAGACTTGTAAAAATTTGTTAGTAGGTAACTCGAAAATATATCTCTATAGTAAAGATAGAATAACTAGATATCTAACAGACGACTAGTAGGTATCCGGTAACCCTGAATTATTTTTCTAATTTATCTAACTCTTTCTATACCTTATACCGGCGAATCTTTGCTTCGAGAAGCTTAGCCTGTATCCTCTCCTCTATTTTATGTATGCCAAGACTACCGTATAGCAGTATTTTATGCAAAATTGGGACAAAACTGGGACAAAACTGGGAAATCTGCGTTCCCAGTCACTGGTTCCGGTCTGGATTTGGTTCCGCCGTACTAGCACTTCATCCCGGACCAGAGCCTGGTCCGGGTCCGGTTCCTAAAGTCCATCCCGGAACCAGTATCTGCGGAAGCCTAGTCACAAGGGCGTTCCCCTATTTGCAGGATGGGTTGTCATAGCAGTAAACTGCTGAAGGTAGTCTCCAAGTCACAATATACAATTGATCGCGAATAACTACCGTAAGTAAATATGTGCTAAATGAGTGTCCTTATATATTCAGTTTTTCTTGATGGTATGAATGGTAGAGTGGTTCCGCCACCCAGTACAGCTTTGGTTGCTGCCATGTACAGTGGCTCTACTAAAGTCTGTGACCCCCCGCTTGACCGCCAGCGGTACCGCCTTCCTATCATAGCCTAACCAACCACCGAAACGCGTATTTATGTATCGCATTGTGCTTAATATCTTGATCAATAACTATATTAAACCTCGCACAAGAGCTTTGCCAGTGTCTAGTCCTTCAGTTTAGCTATTGAATATGATTTTTGGAGGTTTTAGTATGGCAGAATTCATGGCAGAAAAGGGCGGTCAGCGCGTGGGGGTCACAGACTTTAGTAGCGCCACTGTACCCGAGCTCGACTGTATAATGTATCGGGGTTCGGCCGTGATTGTCCTAACACCCCACCCGTTTCGTGCATGTACCCCCCCCCCCCCCCTCCCTCTCTTCTATTGGGCGAACCTATCTTTAGGACAACGCAGTTCACCTCAAGCCCCGTGATTCTCATCAACCACCACCACCTTCTCAACATGCCCCACCTCAAGTGCACTGTCACTCCCCTCCACGGCACCCCCAGCCTTGGCCTTAAGGATCATGCCGTCCTCGTCAAACGTAGTCAGGGCCTCGCCGTGCGCGAGATCGCGCTCGAACAGGGCGCCAATCATGGTGGCCTCGCGATCGAGGAACGTCCACGGCGAGCGGCCCTTGGTGAAGAGGAAGTCCATCTCCTCGAGGGTCTTGCCGGCGGACTCGGGGTAAAAGAGGAAGACGACGACGGACATGAGGAAGCAGAGGCCCATGAAGATCATGTAGAGCATCCAGCTGAAGGGCAGAGTCAGTGGACCACTCGAGAAACTATAAACCGTCGGGCCCAAGGTCTTACCTGATTTCTTTCATAGCAGTAGGGATGTATAGACCGAACCAGAAGTTCTAGATCTTGTCAGAGCATAATTATCACCTAGATCTAGTCATGAGTGAACTCACAACAAACCAGTTCGTGGCCGTAGTCATAGATGTAGCCCTGCCACGCATGCTCATACTAAAGATCTCGGGGGGTACACCCAAGCGACACATGCCCAAGTGATGGCAAATACGGCGACATAGATGTACACAAACGCGATGACGGTGTGCGAAGCGGCCGGGCTTGTGAAATTGAAGTTAGTTTTCTGCGTCAGTGGGTCATATACCGGATTCCCTACGAAAAGTTCGTTAGCCTCGGCATTTCCAACAGCGATGAATCTATAGACTAAAATTGGGTAATATACCGGTTGTCTTCATGAGGACGCCAATAATCATCATCGAGATTCCCATGCCAACCCCGCCAATGATCATCGGCCACCGTCGGCCCCATGTATCCATATAATACATGTTCGGATAAGTGAAGAGGTTAAGAACAACGCCCTGAAGACCGTTGGCAAGGAGGGACGACGAGGTCGCGCTAAGGCCAGCCTGCTGGAATAAGAAGACAGCGTAGTACATGATTCTGGTCATATATTAGATTGCCAACGTACAAGGGAGGTCAGGCACGGGCTATACGTACACATTGATGCCAGTCATTGATTGCCAGAATTGCTGCCCTATATCAGCTCACTGATGCACGATTCTCACACAAAATAAGACTCACCACTCCAATGCCGATCCACATTCGCCGCTTTTGTGACCCGAGCAGCAGATCAAAGTAGCTAGGCGGCGGATGGGTCTTCTCGAAAGATATTTTGGCCACAATCTCAACCATCTCGGCCTGGACGTACGGGTCGTTGATGTCACCCCCAGAGTGGACTCGGGCCAGCACCTGCAGGGCCTCTTCCTGTCTATCTTTCTGGACGAGCCACCGGGGGGACTCCGGCATGAACCACATGGTGACGTGTAGGGCGACGGTTGCCTATAATGGATCAGCCTGTCCATGGTCCTGATTTTATTTGGTGGTTTGACGTACAACCATTTGAAGACCCATGGGAATTCTCCAGCTTGCTTCGGACTGGATGTGGCTGGTGCCGTATTGGATCCAGAAGGCAATGAGAATACCGAAATTAACGCAGCACTGGAAGACGCTGATGATACGACCTCGGATCCTGTAAACTATGAGCACGCGGGCCTTGTATGAGATCTACACAGCCACATACTCTCGGGGAGCAATTTCGCTTTGGTACATAGTGACCTAGCACGTCAGCTCCGACAGGTCCGATTACACAATCCACCATCCGTGTCAACTTACCATCATGGTCAAACAGCCGTTGCCCAGCCCATTAATAACCCGCCCGGCCACAAGAGCCTCCACGTTATTCGCAGCCGTCGCAATCGCAATACCAATGGTGAAGATGGCAGAGCCCAAGAGGATCGTCTTCCGGCGACCGAGCTGATCGGCCAGGAACGCACCGGTGAGGAGCGAGCCGGCAAATGCACCCGCAAGGATGGACGCAGTGATGCCACCCTGTTGGAAGTTGCTCGGTTTGTTGAAGTATGTGAGGAACTGTGGCATGGCGAGAATGCCGCCTGCATGTCCCGGGAGTGTTATCACCTGTCCCTAGGATGTATTTGGGTGACCACGCACTCATTGAACCTGTGTCCTATTCACGGAAGGGTTAGAATTCTGGCAATACGCAATCTTGGCCAATGTTGACTTACATATCCAAAAGCTAAGCCGGCCGTGCACGGTGCAATGCCGTAGAGGTAAACTTCCTATACAATGCTCAGCATTGAAGCAAGCATTGAAGCAGCAACTTACCTTTTTGGTCATCTTGACTGTTGTTCGGTGTACTCCACCAAGACCTTTTCAGTCACAGTGAATGACCAGCAGGCGGATACGTTCATACATATATCCACCAGGGCGAAAAGCTACCAAAGTACAAGAGAGAGGAAGAGCCGAAGAGCCGGGGTTCTTCCCCTGATTGGGCCGAGCTAACCCCGGAGGAGGGGGCCCTGTGGAGCCCTGCAGACCCCCAGGATTTCTCCGCTCGGGTTGCAGACCGAGCGCTGGTTGACGGCCATTACCACCATCGAGCCGAATCACCGGGCTATTGGCTGCGATTGGATGGGTTCAGGAGAGGTCTGATCCGAGGGGAAGAGGTGTAGAAAGGTGAGGTTTCCGTGATTGCAATATAAGAACTCACTGGTTCGGTTATAATCCAGGGCCTGATAGTCACCAAGAACAACTCTCCTCACGATGGCGCCATCAGTTACACAGGCCGATGCCAATGGCTCGCAAGACGGCAATGGCACCTTTGTAGGCTCATCGGAACCCGCCTCAGATATCACCATCACAGGCTTCGAGGCCCATGGTTAGTAGTAACATGGCACTTTCCCGCTCAAGTCAATCAAGCTAACCCACAATCCAGACCTCAGATTCCCAACCAGCCTAGATCACTCCGGGTCCGACGCCATGAACCCAGGCCCCAACTACAGCGCGGCCTACCTCATTCTCAAGACCAACACCAGCCTCTCCGGCCACGGTTTCGCCTTCACCATCGGCCGCGGCAACAACCTGTGCACAACCGCCGCCGAGATGGTCGCCGAGCGTCTCGTCGGCCGCTCTCTCGCCTCTCTCACCTCCAGCATGGGCGCCACCTGGAAGTACCTGGTCTCAGACTCGCAGCTGCGCTGGGTCGGCCCCGAGAAGGGCGTCATCCACCTGGGCCTCAGCGCCGTGGTCAATGCCCTGTGGGATCTGTGGGGCAGACACGCCGGCAAGCCAGTGTGGCGCCTGGTCGCGGACATGACGCCAGAGCAGTTTGTTGACTGTATCGACTTCCGGTATATTTTGGATGCGATTACGCCCGAGGAGGCTCTGGCGCTGTTGAAGGAGCAGGAAGGGATGAAGGCGGCAAGGCTGGAGGACGCGAGGGCGAGTAGGGCGGTGCCGGCGTATACAACGCAGGCGGGCTGGCTGGGCTTCTCGGACGAGAAGATGGTACAGCTGATAAGGTCGAACCTAGCGGTGGGGATGGACAAGTTCAAGTTCAAGGTTGGGGGCAGCCTTGCGGACGACAAGCGAAGGCTGAAGCTGGCGCGCGACACCATGGGCTATGAGCGGATGCTCATGGTGGACGCCAATCAGGTTTGGAGTGTGCCCGAAGCGATCGACTACGTGCTTGAGCTGGTCGAGTACAAGCCGGTGTAAGTGCCTAACTCTGTTTAGAACGAAGCATCTGACTGGTGCCAGATTCATCGAGGAGCCTACCTCGCCGGACGACATACTGGGCCACGCCGCGATCAGGAAGGCCCTGAAGCCCCACGGCATCGGCGTCGCCACCGGCGAGCACTGCCAGAATAGAGTCATGTTCAAGCAGCTCCTCCAGGCCGGTTCAATCGACTATTGCCAAATCGACGCCTGCAGGCTAGGCGGCGTGAATGAGGTCATGGCTGTCCTGCTGCTGGCAAAGAAGTGCGTCCCAAGAGCTTCCTCCTGCCAATATGCTTGGCTAACACCCCAACCAGGTTCAATGTCCCCATCGTGCCCCATAGCGGTGGCATCGGCCTCAATGAGTACACGCAGCACCTCGCGCTGATCAACTACCTGTGCGTGTCGGGAGAGAAGAGCCTCCTCGAACACATCAACTCGTTCCGAGAGGTCCTGACGCACCCCGTGCAGACAAAGGACGGGCACTTTGTCACGCCGCATGAAGCGGGCTACAGTGTGGAATACACGCCCGAGGCTATCGAACAGTACGAATACCCCTCTGGCACGTTCTGGACAAGTGAACAGGGACAGGCAATCATCAACGGGCCCAGGTTGTAAAGCGGGTTGTGGTTTTGCACAAAAGGTGTGGATCTTTACAAGGTAGATGCGGCGTGTTGCAGCACCAGAGTGTGTATATAATTAGTGGTAAGCCGGCTAGGCAAACGGGAATATGTTGTGGAAATATCCAAGATCATCTGACCAGTCCTCAAACGGCTGGGCACCAGAATCCAGGAATGTGGCGTCACCAGTATCCAGTCTCTCCGATTCAGGCATTTGGGCCGTGACGGTCTGGGTTGCTGGGCCAGATAGCACAGGCAGTCTTGCCTCATTCGAGGCCAGCATGTCGCCCTGACCATTCTCCTTGTCACCAGGCCGTTCTGTCAGTCTAGCCTGTGCATAGTCCTCCTCGTCATCTACCGACGTCCGCCTTCGACTTGTGCTCTGGCCTTGTGGTTCCAACGCTTTACCAAACTGCTGCCTTGCTGGCATGCGGTCATTCAGGAACGCAATCAGGGGATCCCGCTCGCCGTTGGCCGTCGCTGCCGCGTTCTGGGAGCAGGAAGCAGCGCTCTCAAAAAACTTATTGTAGAAACTTGCGTGCCAGTATATCTCACTTAGCTGCTTCAGGAAGACTATGCACTTGTCAAAGTTCTCTGCGGCTGGATACTTGCCGAGATCATCGCGAGAGGCGCGCATCATGAGGAGATGGACAATCAGTGGTGGTAGTATGGCGGTAACACTGCTCTGTGTCAGATCAAGCATGATGTAGGAGGTGGGTGAAGGGGACAACCATATTGTCGGGCAGAATTTGACAAGATCAAGCTCGACAAGCTCGACAGCCAGTCGAGTAGAGTCTTCAGCAGCAGCTTGGACTTTTGGCGATGGTAACTGTGCACCGCCGGAACGGCTATAATGCAGGACATGGTGAGACTGGTGAAGGGCAATGATAACAATGCTTCCTAATCTCAGCTGCTAGCTCGAATGACGGTACATGAGGAAGCTCACTTGTAGATCAAATGCAGGACGTCCCTGTACAATGTGCACAAACCTCGTCTGCTCAACCCCCCAGTAGCATCCTCAACCCCCCTGGCCGCCGGCACCAGATTATCCTTCCAATGTCTCAACATCGTCTCACACAGCTCACTCTGCTCTGGTAACAACTCCTTCGTCGCCACTACGCTATGCGGGAGCGACAGTACACTTTCCATGTACTGACACAGGCGCACGAACTCCACGAACACGGCCTTGACCGCGCGGTCATCTTCACTGTCGCCCTCCTCCTCCAGGTCTGCCGGTGTCAGCATCGGCACGTTGCAGTCCAGGCTGTTTATTTGCATTGGGCGGCCGGTGCCCAGCGTGATGAGGCGGTCGCGCACGACGCACGCCCACCAGATGCGAGCCCAGAGCTTACGCTGGGGGACTTGGCTGGCATCACGGTGGAGGCCGACACCTTGGGCGAGGGATATGGCTTGATGGACCCAGAACCAGGTGTGTTTCTGTTCGACCATGGATGGGTAGTAGTGGCTCATCAACAAGAGGGCTTGGATGGTTGTGACATCGTCAGACTCGAAGTCAAAGTCATGTAAATACTGCGAAGTTAGCAACCATTATTTAGATCGTGGCTATCAAGGCGTACCCGAGTTCTTTGATGAAGCACGCTTCTCGCCTGTCTCCGAGACGAGAACCCATTATCCCGCAAAGTGCTCACTGGTACGGTCTGCAAGCCATCAGCACTTATCTCTCATCGCCTCCTGACACCCAGCTACACCCACCGCACTCGCAGTAAAGAGAACCGCCTGCAGCAGCAGCAAACTCGGCCCCCTCCGATTCAAAATCCCCTCATAATCTGTCGCGTAATATCTCTCCAAAAACCCATACTTATCCACCACTGGGAAGAACGGGTGGAACACCTGAAAGTAGTTGGCGACAAACTCGTCCATTGTCCTCTTCGGTGGCAGCTCAAACACGCCCTTGTGCCTCAAATACTGCACGTCAGCGCCCGTCAGTCTCCCCCCCTGCGATATCTGCTCCTCCTCCTCCTCCTCCTCCTCCTTCTCCTCCTCCTTCTCCTCCTCCTTCCACGCCGGCGGCAGCGGCTGCTGGCCGTGGGACGTGAAGTCGCGGAAGAAGGGGTAGTGCGGCACCTTATGTAGCATCGCGTGCTGGGGGAGCGACCGCGCAGACGAGCCTGTATCTATCCGAGCCGGCTCACCGACTACTTCCAAGGGATCACTCTGCAAGGCGTGAGCCGCGCATTTGCGCCACTTCTTGCGCCGCTTTTTGCGCTGCAGCAGGACGCACTCGAAGCCGTCGAGGCGGCACTTGGTGCAGGGGCGGCCGGTCTGCAGGACGTCGCAGCGGACCTTGCGGGTGCGGCAGCAGGAGCACGCTTTGGATGCGCGGCGCTTCTTAACACTTACTGAATTGGCTGAGGGGGCAGAAGGAGATAGAGACTGCTCTGAAGGGTTGGACATGCCGGTGGGGTTTGTTGCAGACGATGTGCCTGGCAACGACATCAGTATACGTTCCGAGGTGTCTTTAAGCCTCGAGATTGGGCGGGGTGGTTCTGAATTTTTGAACCACAAACCGCCCCTCTCATAGACCCGCAACCTATCACTCCTCCGAACCGCGCCGCCCCGCAGGTCTATGCGGTTCGGAAGCGGGTTGACCCTCATAGACCAGCGAATGCATAACTTTGCCCAGAGTTTCCCCTATCCCATGGGTAGGCCTCTGCATGACCCTCACTTTGGTCCAAGATCTGGAACCTAGACCTGACCTTGGAGGGTCGCTGAAGCCCGTTGGCGGTCACCCGCAGGCTGCAGCGACACTCAACGACCTCAACGATCATCAAATGCATAATGCTTGGCGACTTTTCCTAAAAGGGACGCACAAAATGGATGATTCATCTCTCTAGGTTACTGTTATTTACGGCTGTTCATGAAAGAAATTGTCCTATGTAGTCTTAACATAACCTATGAAATGAAATTCTTTGAAATTGAATTGTATTCAATAATCTTGGCCTAAGTAATGACTAATTATCCTAGATTTAGGTGCTTAATAGTGTTACAGCCAGGAAGAGATCAAGGGATCAACTTGTGCCATTTGACGAAAGTATCAAGACTAGAGAGAGAAGAAAGAGAAAGCTATCTCGTGAGGTGGTGTTTGATATATCCCACGAAAAAGAGGGAGCGCCTTTTCTTATCACCTCGATTAGGCCATGTAACATGTTTGCTCCCTTTTTCGTCTAGGTCATCACAAATAGTAAGATTTAAGGCTGTCCAGCGGTTACGCTTCGGATATGTTGTATTTACCAGTAAAATATATATTTATGTAATTGAGTTATCTACTTGCAGGGTAGAAGGCCTGTCAACTAGGTAGAAGAGAAGCACCAAGAAAAATTGCTTCAGAGACTGTTTCTTGAGGAGTTCGAAACCTACTCCTCACAGCTTACATTTATATACAGTCTCTTATCCAAAACAGGAAGGAGGGGTAAACACTAGAAGTAGAGAGATCATCGAAGAATACGAGGCCATGTAACCAGCTACGCAGACCCCTCATACAGAGTTACCCTTCAGCTAGGCCACCGAAAAATCGACGGCTTCCCGCCGAAAGGCTGCCGTTCCGGCAGGATCCCCATGGCTTCGAAGCCTGAGGCATCAAGAAGTGGGAATAGCCTCATGGCAGAACTGTCATCACAATTTAACATAATATAGTAGGTGTGCTCTTTTATAAACTAATCGTTTTAACCTATTATTAGTATAATGGATTTTAGGTATTCGATAATTCTGTGGCTTATGTTATGAGCCAAGCGAGGAGGCAAAAGTCCACTTTCGGTACATTAATTCAAGGTATCAAGTCTAAAGAAGGAAAGGAAGGAGAGGGACGAAGACGGCAGGGAGAGAGCCTTTATAGGCAGTGCCGGCCTCAGGCATACGCTCGCCAGCAAAATTCTCAAAACGGCAGTGCGGCTATAGGGCGCCGTACTGGTGAGCCTAGGGAAGTAAAAGGTTGCAAGAACTGCGCCATCGTTTAGGACATATGCATAGGCTCAATTGATGTAACGTTTTTCTCTTGTGCAGACTGCACTCCGGTTGTATTCAGGCGACCAATCGCAGTATTTAGGGGACTAATGTAGCATGATTAGCCAAGTCTGATCTTCATCATCGCTTGGTCTGAAAATTCACGGTCTCTCACATTTCCAATAAGTTTAGAATGTATTAGCTTATACCAGATTAATTGTTTTTGACCTTTCCTAATTTAGGTATTTACCGAAACTGTTCCGATGTATGGATGAATTGCATACTGAAAGCACACTAGCGCGCAAGGATGCCGTAGTATTACCTATTTACCCTCGGATAATATCTATCTGATAAATTTTCCGATTGGTCGCAATCCTGTAGGCGTGAACGCCGAAGAAGAAAGCGATGAGAAAAACCCCGCTTGGTCGGTACGAATGTCGGTGTAATGTGGATTATCCATATCTGGATAAGGGATGGATAAAATGCGGGGTCATAGGTCAGGGGTTTGAAAAATGTGGGGAAGGCTGGGGAGAGGGTATTGCAGAAGAACACTAGATTGATTGCAGTGCAATGTATTGTATAGAGTAATCTCTGGAGTAATACTTATGTTAAAACGGGCGTAACCCGTTCGGTATGTAGAGATCTAGCATTCAGAGAGAAAGGCGTGTACATTCCGGCGGCTGAAGGGGGAATATGCACACAATCTGTGCCTTATGTTGAGGTTTCAGCCGTCTTCTGACGGAACAGCAGCATTGGTGGATACCCGGAAGAAGGAAATACTATAGATCCGCCACTTAGTAATGATTACGCCCACATAAATTGCCAGCTAGGGGCATTATAGCAATTCAGACTTGTTGATATCCTATTAGTGCGCAGTATGATCCACTAGGCAGTATTCGCGACTGTTATGAGCCCGATTCGCCAGTAAAAAGGCTATATTTCGTCAATTCAAGCTATACGCAAGGTGTATCCACGGTAGCTACCCGGCTAGACGATCTGCCTCTTACCCCTGACCTTCCTATCGAAGCAACTGCTAAAGAAGAACGCGATTAATATAGATTCAACCGTGGTCTCCGCTATAAAGGGCGAGAAACTGAAGGACCCACAGCAATAGAGGAATGAGTTATTGTGAGCAAGCGATGCTGCGCAGGTAGAGAGAGAGGAAGAAGATTGAATAAGATAGATCGATCTTTCTTCCTTAGATTGAATAGGAAGGATAAAATCAATTCGGCTTAGAATCATGAGATAAGAGAAGAGTAAAGTAGGACTGAAGCTTGGTTGATTGTATTGAATCTGCTTGTATGTTCTGATTTTTTTTTTGGTAGAGAAAGCAGGGCTTATTTATAATTAATCTTTCATGCAAGCTCATCAAACTTCTTTTGCATATGATCGTTCTAGATCTAGGATCTAGATGCATGATGATCTCATGCAGACAGATCTAGATGCATAGTGATCTCATGCAGTAGCTGTTTGATCGGTGGTTGCTTGATTGTACGATGTCATTGATCGTAGTGATGATGTAGATCGTATACAATAGTATACGTCTTCTACGATATCATTGACCGTAGTGATGATAGTATAGCGATATCATTAACCGTAGTAATAATAGTATAGCATAAAGCTTATAGAGATTCAGCCATCTTGTATAGGCCTTATGAATCTAGCTTGATATACTATATACTGCATGACTACTACATAACGGTTTAGGCATCTTGCCCTATATCTCACACCCCCCCGTAATCTTTATACTATAGTGCAGATAGCAGTAGAGTATAGAGATTAGTATAGAGTAGATAGGATCGATATATATATATACTACTATAAGATAGCTAGATATATATCTTCCTAAATCTCATAGAGGTTTACTAGATTCTTTAGGTCTTCAAATATTTCTCTTCTAACGTTTTTTATCAGGAAATCTGCTAATTACAGTTTAGTGGGGACCTATTGAACATCGACCCTTTCTTGTTTGACCTAATCTCTAATATAGTGATATTGTATATCAATATGCTTTGTCCTTTTATAAAATTCAGGGTTTTCGGCTAGCTTAATAGCTGCCTTATTATCCACTAATATAGTAGGCTTACTAGGCGTATAGCCTAGGCCTAATCTATCGTTTAGATAGTTGAACAGGTTAGCTAGATAGATAGCTTCCCGTATAGCTTCTTTTATAGCCATATATTCGGCCTCGTAGGTAGATAGAGCTACTGATTTTTGTAGCATCGAATTCCAGCTCACTATATTATTAGTAGCTAGATCTCCAGATAGACTAAATATATAGCTAGTAGTGGATTTTCTACCATCGATATCGCCTAACCAATTAGCATTAGAGTAGCCTTTTATATATAGGTCATTCCCTATACAATCGTAGTGTAGGCCTAGATTTAGCCGATATTATAGATATTGCCATATCTTCTTTAGTTCAGAGATATATGATTGATCAGGATTGCTCATATAGCGTGAGCAGTAGGCAACTAGATAGGCTATATCCTAGTTTTTAGGCTAGTATATAGTAGTAAGCCAATCTCCTTTTAATAGAGATTAATAGTTTGCTCTAAAGCTTTTGATTAATTTTTTCTTAGGTAGATCCCTACTTTACCCGGCGTTTTCTTTCGCCGTTTGCTACTAGTAGTAGCAAAATTTGATAAGATCTTTAATATATAATCGTTTTGATCGATAGTTATCGATTAATCTTAATAGTTTAGGCTGATATTATTACCTAGGAAGGTAGCTAGTTCGCCTATCTCTTCCAATTAAATATACTGCCTAGCCGCAGTAGCTAGCTTATTTATATAAGCTAGATCTTTGTGTATAATGATTATATCATCAACATATATAATGATAATAGCCTAGGTTTTACTATTTATATATATTCCCTCGTCGATAGGAACTCTATCGAATCCGAGGTTCGCGATAGCCTTTGTAAAGAATTCAGACCAAAGCCTAGGTACTTGCTTTAGGCTATATAGGGCCTTCTTTAGGTAGCAGCACTTATTTTGATAGACAGGGTCTCCTAGCCTATATAGGCTAGTTAGCAATATAGTATATATATCACTATCGATATCGGCGTATACGAATACGTTTTTAACGTCGTATTGCCTGATATACCATTTTTTGTTCATCGCGATTATTAGCAATATATACCAGGTTTCTATTCTAGCAGTAGTAGAGAAGGTTTCTAGGAAATCAACACCTAATCGTTGATTAAATCCTTATATAACCCATCTAGCCTTATAGCGAATCGTTTTATTCGCATTTGTAATATAATTAGCCTAGATACTAGAGGCATTCTTTATAGGCTTCTTTTTGAATACCTATCTGCCCCTAATAGGTATTACACTAGGGGGTATATCAACGATTTTATAGGTTACCTAATCTATTAGGCTTTGATTTTCGTCCTGACAGGCCCTATACCACTTATTCCTTTCAGCTAATTGTATAGCTTGATTAAAGGT